AGAACTTTTTCCCTGGTAGAGATAGGTTAAGTTTACAGATAAGTAAAGAGTAAGATAGTTTCAAGATGTCCGCTGTCAATGGGATTTTAAGAGATCGTCCGAGTAGTATGATGAATTGATATTGTGATCATGATGTGAGAAGAGCATGATGATCCTTCTATCCCTATGTCATGGGGTTATATGTCATTCCTTAACTGTTAACCTTCTGACCTTGTCAAATGGGATTTTTGGGGCAAGTCTTTATGTTAATGGCTGTTGACGTCATGTGGAGCTGTTGGCTTACGTCAGGAGTATTCCCAGCTGTTATCATATAAGGCTAACTTCTTGTTTAGGACAATTTAGGATTGTTTTAATTTGAAGATGTTTTAGTCAGCGTGTCTCCTTTCTCAATTTGGACTAATGTGTCCTTGCTTACCTAAGCATTATTCTATTTCATTATTCTATTTCAAGATTTTTAAGTTGTCCAACTTAACTTATTTATAGGTAATTACATCTTTACATGTATATGTATGAATATATATATATATGTTTATATATATGTATATGTTGCTAACTAAGAATATATCACACTATATTACTATTTTTGTATATAACTAAACTTATAGCAATATGTATGTGTGTTTGCTGAACAAATACGTTTTTAAAGGACCACTATAGTGCCAGGAAAACAAACTCGGCGCTGGGGACTCTCCTCCTCCTTCCGACGTCATTGGCTGAATGTGTATGTGCGACAAGAGCCTCTGGCGCATTCAGTCAGTTCATAGGAAAGCATTTCTCAATGCTTTGCTATGGACGCTGGCGTCTTATCACTGTGATTTTCAGCGATGAAACTCTCTGTGAAGAATATAAGTGAAAAAATCTTTTAACCCCTGCAGACGTGTTAAGACTTAACTAAGGCAATAAGTGATGTACATGACAGTCTTTGATTTAGGAACCCAATTAAAATATTCAGGTGCTTAGAGAGAATGTTATGTTTTCCAATGTCAGGATGTTTATACACGATAGTGGAAACTAGTGTCAGGCTCTTAACAGATAAATGCATAAAGAAACAATGTGTGTGTGCACCCAGGGCCGGTGCAAGGATTTTTGTCGCCCTAGGCAAAAGTAAAGTTTGCCACCCCTCCATGTGACATCACAATGCCCCACCCATATGATCTGCCATGTTAACTAACGCCAGTGCTGCAGTGCCGCCGTGTTTACATTAAAAGGCCTGCAGGGACAGGCTATGGACACCAGAACCACTACATTAAGCTGCAGAGGTTCTGGGGACTATAGTGTTTCTTTAATGTGAGGTAAATTAGAGCCACGAATAATATACTAGATTGCCTACTTACAACCAGATGAGGATGATGATGGGCTCTAGCTGCAGTCTGGCTCCACTGGTCTGGTGTAGAACAGGCTCTCTGGAGGCGGTTTGTAACTGTGGTCACAAAAATCAATGTTCTGGGAGAACGGGAAGCAGCTCAATTTTTGGGGGGCCCTTTACACAGCTCAAGGTCTGGGTCCCAGGGTCCACCTTCATGTTTCACCAATGAGTTTTTTCACAGGGGGTGGAGTATGTAGGGGATGTCCTGATGTGTGTAAGGAATGCATTGTGTGAATCTGTGTTTATATGTGTAAAGGCTGCAAGGTGTGTTTCTGTGTATGTACGGGATGCAGTGTGTACATCTGTAAGGGATGCATTGAGTGTGTGTAAGGGGTGCATTGAGTGTGTGTAATGAATGCATTGTGTGTAAGGGTTGCATTGCTTGTGTATGTGTGTAATGCATTGTGTGTTTTTCTGTGTGCAAGGGGTGCATTGTGTGTGTGTGATGGAAGTCAATCTCTCCATCCCGTCAATTTCCTTCTTCCCCCCCCTCTCCAATTTCCTCCTTCTTCCCCCCTCTCCAATTTCCTCCTTCTCCCCCCTCTCCAATTTCCTCCTTCTCCCCCCCTCTCCAATTTCCTCCTTCTCTCCCCCTCTCCAATTTCCTCCTTCTCCCCCCCCTCCAATTTCCTCCTTCGTCCCCCCTCTCCAATTTCCTCCTTCTCCCCCCTCTCCAATTTCCTCCTTCTCCCCCCCTCTCAATTTCCTCCTTCTCCCCCCCTCAATTCCCTTCTCCCCCTCAACTCCCTTCTCCCCCCCTCTCAGATTTCCTCTTCCCCTCTCCAATTTCCTCCTTCCTCCCCCCTCCACCTGTTGTGGCGTGGCCGGCTGTATGGTCAGCGGGTGCAGGAAGCTTTTGTTTCCTGTACCCGATGAGCCTGAGAGACAGATGCTCCATGTAATGTGAATGACCCTTTAGGCTTCGACCCGCAGCTACAGTGAGGGTGACAGGAGGGCGCTTCCTCCTGTCAGCCCCTCTCCCTAAATGCTGCCAGACAGAGCCTGCAGCAGTCTGGAGTGGGGCGGTGCTCCTGGAGAGCGCCCTGAGTGTGCCTGGTCCACCTAACAGGTAGCGCCCGGCCCTGTGTGCACCAACCACAGTGTAATAAGTGCTCAATTTATATCAGCAGAAAGAAACTTCCCTGTATAGGATAAGGTTCCCAACAATATCCCCAAAGACTTCCTCTTGTCTTCCACACAGTATGAGCAAAAAAAAGGGGGGGTTGATCTGCTGAACCAATCACAAATAAAGCAACATAGCGAATAACTGTGTATATAAACAGATTATAGGAATTGCGTTCGCAAGTGGCCACTCACACTTTTGCTGAAGTTTGCAAGCCTTGAATATTTATTTCTTTTCAAGATGAGAATTTCAAATCTTCTATCTGGGTTAGAATCTCCATAGATGCATTTAGATATATGTGCTCAAGAAAGGAAATATAATAAAATTAAGGTGCACATTCAGAGTGAAGTACAAAATAAGTTTTAATAACTTACATCAAAATATAAAATCATCAATGTAGTCCCTCTATGTCACCACCAGGGGTCCTACGCGTTTCATTCAGAAAATAGGACTTCCTCAGGGACTTGCGTGTAAAATTCCCCTCCCTACCCAGTCCTTATATACATCCCTCAATGTCCACAAGATGAATGATTTCCTGCAGGTGTTTTCTTTTTCGGGCAAATCCTATTATTATTATTATTATTATTTTATTATTTATATAGCGCCAACAAATTCCATAGCGCTGTACAATGGGTGGACTAAGAGACACATAATTGAGATCAGACCACTGACGTACAGGAACAGAGGGGGTTGAGGACCCTGCTCGATGAGCTTACATACTAGAGGGAGTGGGGTATAGTGACACAAAGGGTTAAAGTAGGGGAATTAAATAGTTTGTTACAGAAGGGTTTATTGAGTGCTTGGTAGGTCATTTTTGACAGGTACAGGAACGGAGTCATGGGGTGGGGGATGAGAAACCTGCTGACAGTTTAATTGATACGCTTTAATGAAGAAGTGAGTTTTCAAAGATATTTTGAAGGAATGGAGGCTGGGTGAAAGTCTGATTGAGGAGGGAAGGGAGTTCCACAGAATAGGTGCAGCGCTGGAGAAGTCTTGAAGGAGAGCATCAGAGGTGGGGATCCGGGCAGAGGATAGGTTTAGGTCTTGGGCTGAGCGCAGGGGTCTCGACGGGATATACTTGTGTATGAGGGAGGATAGGTATGTTGGAGCAGCATTATGTAGGGATTTGTAAGCAAGCACCAGAATTTTGAATTGGGCCCTATATCTAACTGGAAGCCAATGCAGGGACTGACAGAACGTGGATGCGTGGGAGGTGCGACCGGACAGGAAAATAAGCCTCGCAGCCGTATTCATTATAGATTGCAGCGGTGCAAGCTGGGAACATGTAAGACCGGTGAGAAGGGGATTGCAATAGTCAAGGCGAGAGAGAACAACAGCATGAACCAGTACCTTAGCCGCGTCCGGCATTAGATATGGGTGGATGCGCGCTATGTTCTTGAGTTGGAAGCGACAGGATTTGGCTATCGATTGAACATGAGGAGTAAAAGAGAGATCAGAATCAAAAAGAACCCCTAGGCAGCGAGCCTGGGAGGTAGAGGTGATAGTAGCGCCATTGACTTGGATGGAGACAGACACAGGAGTAGCAGCACTTGAGGGAGGAAAAACTAGAAGTTCTGTTTTGGACAGGTTGAGTTTAAGGAAGTGAGCAGCCATCCAGTTGAAAATAGCAGAGAGGCAGTCAGAAACACGAGTCAAGGTGGGCGGAGAGCAGGGGCGGGCTGGGCCGGGGGGCAGGGAGGCAATTGCACCCCAGGCCGTCCTAAATTCTGTTGGGACCGGCCGCTGCAGGGCCGGCCCTTTAAATGCTGCAGCCGCCTGAAAGCTCTGTTAAGAGCCTCAGACGGCTGCAGCTGCTCCTCTCCCCATCCCTCCCCTGTAGCGTGGCCGAGCTGCTCGCTGGTCCGTGGTGCCCGGCCGGAGTGATAGGAGTGTGCACTTCCTGTCAGTCCGGCCGGTTACAGGAAACAGAAACTCCTGTTCTCCGCGGAGTTTCTGTTTCCTGTAACCGGCAGGACTGACAGGAAGTGCACACTGAGTGTGCACCTTCCTATCAGTCCGGCTGGGCACC